ATACCAAGCCATATCGTCAAACCAGTTGTGGAAGTTGTAAAATCCTTCAGAAGTCATGTACTTTGTAGTTCTGTAGTTGAAATAAGGATCAAACTCGTGTATCATTGATTCGTAACGTAGCACGGAAAACAGGCGACATAGAAAGGCTGCGAAATAGTCACACAAAACAACAACCAACCTAGGATACCAGATAGGAATAGAATCAACAGCATTAGAAGAGTCTGCTGTTTTTGACTCGAAAACCAACTAAATCCCTTCATGTTTCCGTAAGATCGGCCAACGCACACTACACTGTTGGTCAACTTGCGCGCTGAAGCAAACGTCACACTATTAAAGACGTAAAACAAACTGCCAAACTGTAATGATCCAAAGAAAAGTACCAAATTCAAAGGCTTATTGAAAGTACCGATCTTACCAGAAAACCTGTAAGCGCATGAAGTTTCGCAGTAAGTAGACAAAAAATATAGGTAAAAGGATATGTGTCGTACGAATGCAAGGTGTTACAGGAAAACGATAATGAACTCGACCAATCAGTCTACGCATTCTGCCCGATTGTACTTATTTTATACTGAAATTCGGATCATAATTGTAATAAAGTTAAAACTGTACCGCATATGTGTTCTCCTTATTCTAGAATACTGTTGTCCCATTTTGCTGTTATGAACGCGTCTAACCGCGTCCAAACGCAGAATTTTCGCACGAAAACCATTTTCTCTTTCTGGATCCAGTATTTCTTATAGGGGTAGGTGTCAGTTAGCGAACATTAAATTTGTGTGGCTTAGAAGACTCCAAGCCGGTATATGCTTCTGTTTCGCGATAACAATAGCCCTAATCTCCCAAAAATTAATGCTCTTACTCCGGTGGACGGACCTTACGCCCCTCCTAACTCCTCCATGCTAACTTCATCACTCCCCAGCTCCATATCAATCCGTTCTCGTTATTTTGCCCCCAAATGTGCTTTCATCGGGAATAATCTTCCACTCGAAATTAGCTTGTCATCTACATTACCGATTTTCAAAAGCAAGATACTTGAACACTTAAATTTGGACGAAATTA